TGACCAAAACTGAGTACATGTTCATTGGATCAAATCAAAATCTTGACAAGTTAAGAGATGTACCACTACTATTTCTTGAAAACAAAGATTTAAGTCAAAGCAACCAAGTCATTAGGGGGTACATATTGATGAAAGACCAATATGTCATGAACACATTCAAAATATTTGAAAAAGTAGGTGCTCGAATTTCAGGTTTACGTCCGGTAAGGGACTTTGTTCCATTATCGACATTGTTAACAAATAACAATCTATAACTCATTAATACGGTCATTATCTTATTACTGCTATGTTGTTTAGGACAGCCTTTGTGCTGCTGGTGCCTGCATTCTACAAAAGTTGCAAAATCGTGCAGCTAGATCGTGTTATTACTCGTCAAGGTTACGATATCAGATCCAATGAAATAAGGAAAACATTGAATTGGAAAACTCTTGCTGAAATGCGAGGCATACAAAATTCACTATGATGTATAAGTTATTAAATTATTTGGCTCAAAATTATTTGAGAGACCATTTTGAAATGTCTGTCATAAGTAATTTCTATAAATTAGGAAATAGAAAACTATGCCTTGTACCACCAAAGCCTGAAACGGAATATTTAATGAAATGCTTTGCATTTTCTGAGGTAAAATTGTGGAATACTCAAACTGAAGATGTAGAATGGAGCAACAGTTTGAGGCCGTTTGAAAAAGGAGTACTGATCACATCATCAGCTTCTATCTAAAATTATATATATATATATATATATATATATAATTTTAGATGATGTGATCAGTACTCCTTTTTCAAACGGCCTCGGTATATATATATATATATATATATATATATATATATATATATATATATATATATATATATATATATATATATATATATATATATTCGGCTTTCTTGTAAGGCAGCGCTATGCACTGAAGAAGCTCCGAATTCAAATAAATGCCTCTCTTTCTCTCAATTACGAAAAACAGATACCTGATAAACACGTGACAACATATATGTTTTGCAGTTTAATAAATACCGTGCGCAATTTTTAAATGACAACATCATCATATACGTGAACTTACCTAAAATTATTATTATAATTAGCCTTTCTCACGCCGCCATTTTTGGGTGGCTTTTCAGCCGAAGTCTGCAAAATAAGTCCACATAACAACGACTTTTTATAATTTTTTTGACGAATGATGGTAAATTTGCTTTGTAAATGGTTAGTTTATTTGAAAAATTGCTTTTCACATTGTTTTAATTGTCTGTATTGGTTAACGAGAAATAGATGCCACCCAAAAATGGCGGATATTCGTCATCGTGAGAAAGGCTAATTGATCATGATTACGGTGATCTAAACAATAATTCTTAATGGCGCATTATCGCTAAATTAGAGCGCAAAAACTCTTCACATGACATTAAAATTGACTATTTTCCAAATATTTTTACTTTTATAGAACCAATCCAAGTATCTAGAAAACGGAGAAGTGGAAATGAGTTTTTGTCAAAATTAATATGAAACAAAGATATTCTAATGAATAGGGATAAAGTTTCTTGTTGTAAATGCGGTAATGTTATTCTTACAAACAGACGTCCCTGTAATATATGTGCTATACTTTATGTTAGATTTATATATTGAAACACTGAACTGCATATATAACTGGACAGTAGATTATCACGTGACTTTTGATGTTGTTCAAGATGGCGTGAGTTTGTAATAAGCAAAACAGTTTATTCGCTTTATATTTGGAATACTGACTAAGTTTTGTACATATTTATGATTATATTAAATGGTTATTGTTATACACATCTTCGAATCCTGATCTAGGATATTCAATATGAAACATGGTCCTTCTTTGAGCCGGATTGAAACGGATTGAAATTTGATATTTTGAGAACACTTTAAGAAATACGAGCCAATTTACGATTTATTTGAGAGAATTTATGAGTCCTTCGGGAGAATCTGCGAGTCCTTTGGGAGAATCTACGAACATATGAGATAATTCACGAGCTTCGAAAGAATTTACGAACGATTGAGAGAAATATTTACGTGATTTTGAGCGATATACGAGTCATATAAAGCGAACATCGAGACATTGGCAAATCTACGAGTATCTGAGTAAGTCTATACGATTATTTGAGCGAATTTACGAGATTTATTACACTTACAAGTATTTGGAATATTTTATATACGAGTTTTGAGAGAAATAAACGAGAAATTGCGCCTTAGAACAATATACAGTAACTGTGAACTAAAGGGATTATTATAAGGTGTTTATATACATTTTGAGAAGTTAGATAAAGAGCATACGCATATTCGAGAGTGTAACATTGTTATTATGAGTGAAGAAGCAACAAAGAAACGTAAGATTCGGGGTGGACATAGAAGCTCAACTAAGCGGACAATAAATGCTTCATCAACAATTCTTGACGATTTTGATCCTTCAAATAAACAACTTACCGAGAAGTTATTACAACAAAAGATTACATTAAAGGAAAATCTAGACATTCTGCAAAATTTAGACAATGATATACTAGCTATTACTGAGGAGAAAGATATTGAAAAGGAGATTGAAGAAAGTGATCTTTTAAGAGAGAGAATACATCCTACAATTGTCAGAATTGATTCTATAGTGAGCCCTATGAGCCTACCTCCATCACCAAGTCCAGAAGGAACTAAAGAAGAAGGGAATAATCATAATTCTAGTACTATAAGTCATTCGTCGGCGAAGATAAAGCTACCAAAATTGAGTTTAAAGAAGTTTAAGGGAGATATTAAGGAGTGGATTCCATTTTGGGACAGTTATACTTCAGCTATTCATGACAATCCTGACCTAAGTGATATTGATAAATTTAACTATTTGAACTCCCTACTTGAATCAAAGGCAGCAGAAGCAATTGCTGGGTTAAAGATTACATCAGCAAACTATCAGGAAGCAGTTGACGTGTTAAACCAGAGATTTGGCGACAAGCAACAGATTATTAATTCGCATATGGACAGCCTTCTTCGACTACCTGCAGTAACAAGCCTTCATGATGTTCAAAGTATTAGACAGCTTTACAATAAGGTTGAATCGCATATCAGAGGTCTCAAGTCTTTGGGAGTAGAGACTGCAAGATATGGTAATCTAATGATCTCAATATTGATGCAAAGGCTGCCACCGGGTTTACGTATTATTGTAACAAAGAAGATGCAAGAAGATGAATGGTCTTTGGATAAACTTATGACAATATTTCGACAGGAATTAGAGGCTAGAGAAAGAGCAAATCTGCAGTGTTTACCTTCATCAAAGTCCAGTTATCAACGAAATAAACCGGGAACAGCTGCTGCTCTTTTCACGGGACTGCATAACACTACCTGTTCTTATTGTCAAGGAAAGCACTTATCTGCAAACTGCAAGACAGTGACCAATGTGGCTGCAAGGAGAGATATTCTGAAACGAAGTGGATGGTGTTTTGTATGTTTAAGAAAAAAAAAAATTAGTCGGGAATGCCAATCGAACATCAAATGTTTTAAATGTGGTAGACGACATCATGGAAGTATGTACATGGGCGGCCAACCCCGACAACAACATCAGCAAGCTACTACAAGTCAAACCATGTATGTTGGCACAAGAACATCCATCTTGTTACAGACAGCGAAGGTCAACATATACAATCCCGGAATGCAGGAAAACAGAGTAAATGCTCGACTTATACTGGATAGTGGGAGCCAACGCTCTTTCGTGACAACCAGAGTGAAGAATCAATTAAACCTTGATGCAGAAGGGACAGAAAACCTCATGATTAAGACATTTGGAGGCGAAGCAGAGGAACTACAAACATGTGAATTTCTGCACTTCAACATTGAAATAGAATCTACTTATCCCGATCTTTCACTTACAGTATTTGTAGTACCTACAATTTATCAACCCCTAAGACACCAAACAACCCAAGCGGCACAGGAAATTTACCATCATCTCGAAGGACTTAATCTTGCAGATCTTAATACTGGAGAAGAAGAGTTAGAAGTTGATATTTTGGTGGGATCTGATCAATATTGGAATTTAATAACTGGAGCAGTTAGACGGGGAGATTCTGGACCCAACGCAATGGGAACAAAGGTCGGCTGGGTTCTATATGGTCCTGTAACAGATCCTGTGAGTGAAAAAAACCAGTGTTAACTTGGTGAACACGCATGTTCTGAAGTTTGCAACACAACCACTGACCCCTGATGCAACAGATATGACACACGAATTACGAAGATTCTGGGAACTAGAATCATATATTAGGTGTTTTCCCCAATGACGAGTCAGTCTATGAGAAATTCACACAATCAATCAAGCTGAAAGATAAACGGTACGAAGTGGAATTGCCATGGAAGAAATCTCACCCTGTTCTTCCTGACAACTACCAGCTGAGCGAAAAACGGTTGAAGCATGTACTAACAAGATTGAAAAAGAATCTAGAGATACTGAAAGAGTATGACAATGTCATAAAGGAGCAACTAAAGGAAGGAATTGTGGAAGTGGTCGATGAACAACATCCTGGAGAAGTTGGTAAGGTCCATTACCTTCCGCGCCACGCAGTAATACGAAGAGACAAATCCACAACGAAGATGAGAATTGTATATGATGCCTCGGCAAAGGACAATGCCTCAACTTTGAACGACTGTCTACATACAGGTCCTGCATTGGCACAGAACATACTTGATATTCTTTTTCGGTTTCGTTGTCACAAAGTCGCTCTTGTAGGGGACATTGAGAAGGCCTTTCTTATGCTGCTGATCCAAGAATCCGATCGAGATGTCCTACATTTTTTATGGGTGGACGACATTAAAAATCCCAACCCAACGATTACAACGCTACGGTTTACAAGAGTGGTATTTGGAGTTTCTTCAAGTCCTTTCCTCCTGAACGCAACAGTTAAGCACCATATGGAACAGTATCGAAACATTGACCCAGAATTTGTTGAAAAATTACTTGAATCCATTTACGTTGACGACTTAAACGCAAGTGATGAAAACGACGATGAAGCGTTTCTGCTTTACAAGAAATCGAAGCTTCGACTCGCAGAAGGAGGATTTAACTTAAGAAAGTTCTTTTCGAACTCACCTACATTGATGAACCGAATAAATGAGAATGAAGCCCAGTTGCTTGCAGATTGCAATGATGAACAAGATACTCTCCAAACCAGTGAAGGTATTAATCAAGGTGAATCGAGATCAAGCCAAACTTTGAGAATGGAACATGACCAGTCGTACACAAGGGAGACAACTGGTAACTTGTCTGAACCAGTCGAGAAATGCGAACAAAAGATTTTAGGAGTTAAATGGAACTATCAAGAGGACTGTTTTGTGTTTGACTTAGGACCAATTGCTCAGGCAGCAAAGGAATGCGAACCAACGAAGAGGAATATCATCAGCATCGCATCGAAATTCGATGATCCTCTTGGATTTATGTCACCCATCATTGTGCAAATAAATCTATTATTTCAGTCCTTGTGTGATACGTGGAATACGTGGAATTATTAATGATTGGTTCTCGTCATATTTACTAAATCGCATTCAAACAACGCAGATTGGTACTGTAGTATTAGATAAAGAGACAGTGCTCTCTGGCGTACCTTAAGGATCGGTTTTAGGACCACTGTTATTTCTTATTTACATTAACGATATATATAACTCTACCGATAAATTAAAATTCTCTTTGTTTGCCGATGATACCAATCTATTATATGCTGACAATGATCTAAGGTCCTTGGAAACTATTGTTAATCACGAATTAATCAAATTATATAATTGGTTAACTGCAAACAAATTATCTCTTAACGTCAAAAAATCTAATTTTGTCACTTTACACTCTCACCAGAAAAGGTTAGATTATCAGGTAGATCTGAAAATATTCGACAATCATTCAAATACATTTAGCTCTCTGGAGCATAAAAATTATGTTAAATATCTGGGTGTACTTATTGATAGTAGCCTCACATGGAAAGATCATATCGACTACGTTGCTTCGAAAATAAGCAAATCAATTGGCATTATTGCCAAATTAAGACATTTTGTTCCAAGGAGTACTACATCGGATATATACAGATCTCTTATATTACCATATACCTCGTATGGTATTATTCTATGGGGTCAAGCTGCTAGGGTTTACCTTAACAAGATTTTTAAGCTTCAAAAGCGTGCTCTTCGATTAATGAACTTTGGGAAGTATAGATCTCATGCGATCCCTTTTTTATTTCTGATCAAATTTTACCTATCGATATGCTTTATTTTAAGTCTGTTTCTATGCTAACGCACGATGTTTATAACAAAATGACGCCGTTAAATATTTCAAATTTATTTATCCTGGCGCGTGAAGTTAACAAATGTAACACTAGGTTCTCCTCTGGCAGCAACTTCTATGTTAAAAGTTCGCGTTTGGACAAGTTACATAGGTCATTTTCAAGAACAGGAGTGAGGATTATGTTGATCTCGCTACAATAATAAAAAAAATTTCAAACATAAATTAAATTATAGGTAACCGCATATTTATGTTCTTACCTTGTTCCTTTTATTATTTTTTTGTTGATGCTTATGCTAAATTGCAACTGCGTAATTTTAAATCACGTAATATTATTTCTCTTATAGTTTCTCTTATTATTCTTTCACCTTTTGTAAACTACATCTCAAATATTTATCCTTAATTTAATTATTTTGTAATTGTCCGCCTCGATTAGCTTTTGCACCTGCGGACAGATTGTTATTGTAAATATTTATAGCTATAATAAAATTGTTGTTGTTGTTGTTGTTGTTGTTGTTGTTGTTGTTGTTGTTGTTGTTGTTGTTGTTGTTGTTGTTGTTGTTGTTGTTGTTGTTGTTGTTGTTGGAATTGAATGGGATGCACCCATAACCGAGAAACTGAAATCGAAGTGGTTAAAACTTGTTGGTGATTTGCAAGAAACGAAACCAATGACACTGCCTAGATGCTATTTTGTGCACATTAAGGAGAAGGTCTTAGCTCGCCAACTTCACGGGTTCCGCGATGCCTCAATTTCAGCTTATGCAGCTGTGGTGTACCTTGTAGTTACGACCACAACGCGGAGATATGCAACATTTGTCACAGCGAAGGCAAGAGTAGCACCGAGTCAGAAACAAACGATTCCAAGGTTAGAACTCTTATCTGCAGTTATCCTTGCACGACTTATGAAGAATACCTATGAAGCACTCAAATCTGTTCTAGAACTGGATGAAAATGTTGTATGTTGGACAGATTCGTTGGTCAGCTTATATTGGATAAGAGGCGAAACGAAAGAATAGAAACAGTTTGTCCAGCTGAGAGTTCATGAAATTCGATGCCTTATCTGTTCATCATCATGGCGACACTGCCCCGGCGTAGATAATCCAGTAGACATCCCAACTCGAAGTATTAAGTCTTCAGAACTCGGACAGTGTGAACTCTGGCGAAATGGACCACCATGGCTGTCAGAAGAATTGCAACCTAACGACGAATTGATAGACGAGCCTTCACCTTCGGAAGAATGTTTACGAAAGCTGAAGAAGAAGCCACACCATTCACCAACTGCGCTGTTAACCGAAGCGACAGATCAAGGTATAAAGGAATTAATGAACATTGCAACATTCTCGAATTACCATTGGCTTCTAAGAGTTACGGTGTATGTACTAAGATTTGTTCGAAAATTGAAGGCCAACGTGAAGAGAAGAGCTGATGAATCCCAAGAAAGGTTGAAGAATTCTTGGCTGGAAGAGATAAACGAAGCTGAAACGCTCTGGCTAAAGGAAATGCAAGCATCACTTCCCGGACATTTGAAGTATCGAGATTGGAGACGGCAGATTAGAATATTTGTCGACGAGAAGGGGATAACTAGATGCGGTGGAAGATTGGAAAATGCCAATATTCACGAGTCAGCGAAGCATCCTATCTTGCTCGATCCACGACATCAGCTAACACGTCTTATCTCGTAAGATATTGCCATGAAAGAGTGAAGCACTGCGGAACGAAGGCAACCTTGACTGAATTACGGTCGCGGTTTTGGATAGGCCGACAGTACATACGAAGCGTCATCTATCAATGCGTCGTTTGCCGAAAACAAGAAGGAGAACCCTACCGTGCGCCACCACCTCCTCCATTGCCAGAATGTCGTGTGAAAGAGGACTTTCCGTTCGCTAACACCGGCGTAGATTTCGCTGGACCGTTATATGTAAAGAATCCTGATTCGAAGGTATGGATCTCATTGTACACATGTTGTGTAACTCAAGCGGTACACCTCGACCTGGTGCCTGATATGTCAACCGAAGCCTTTCCAAGAAACTTTCAGAGATTTTGCGCTAGAAGAGGAGTACCATCACTGGTTATATCAGACAATGCAAGAATCTTCAAATCTGCTTCGCGAAAACTTATGTCTCTATTAGAATGCCCAAGAATAAAAAACCATTTCACCTCATCAAAGATCAAGTGGTCATTTATCCTCAAAAAGGCCCCTTGGTGGGGTGGATTCTACGAAAGAATGATCAAATCAGTGAAAAGATGTCTACGTAAAACACTAGGGAACGCGCGACTTACGTATGAAGAACTTGTCGAGATAGAAGCCATTCTGAATTCGAGACTACTAACATATACATCAACAGAGGATTGCGAAGAACCCGTTACACCATCACATCTCATGCATGGTCGAAGACTTCTTTCCTTGCCAACGCAAGACGAAGTGGAAGACAAAGATTGGGAACTAACGTCAACAGATATTGCAAAACGAGAAAGGCACTTGGCTTCTCTACTAGATCATTTCTGGAGAAGATGGAAAACCGAGTATTTATTGGAATTGAAAGAAGCGCATAGAGACAGGAAATCGGTACAATCGCATAAAGAATTGATAAAGATGAATGATATTGTAGTCGTGCATGACGAAAACCGTTCTCGAAGTCTTCGGCGACTTGGCAGAGTGATGCACTTGGTTCGTGGTAATGATGGTAAGATTCGTGGAGCTAAAGTGAAAGTCGCGGAGAGAGGCAAGAAACCAACAACGCTTCGACGTCCTATACAAAGGCTGTACCCAATTGAAATTGGTAATCAGGACATAACCCAACAGAAAGTAGACATGGACTCAACAACAATCCAACCTCAGAAAGAAGAGCCTACTCAGAGACCTCGACGCGCAGCAGCAATCAAGGCTACAGAGAAACGAAGAGAATTGATACGAAACGAACAGTTATCAACAGAAATTAGTCGATCACCACTTGGGTGATCAACGGGGGGAGTGTGCTATACTTTATGTTAGATTTATATTTGAAACGCTAAACTGCACATATAACTGGACAGTAGATTATCACGTGACTTTTGATGTTGTTCAAGATGGCGTGGGATTGTAATAAGTAAAACAATTTATTTGCTTTATATTTGGAATACTGACTAAAGTTTGTACATATTTAAAATTATATTAAATGGTTATTGTTATACAAATCTTCGAATCCTGATCTAGGTTATTCAATATGAAACAATTTTGATTGTAACTAATAGACCCATTTTGAAATTCATAAAGAGTCAATAAGAAGCCTTCGTCATCTAAATCAGAAAAGGGTAAGGGTTCATAGGTATAGAAGCCATATTTATATTAATTATTTGAGTAACTTACTATAAAACACGTTAGTTATATAATAAGTAAATACTGACTTTATCCAGATCGTTTGTCTTTAATTATGAGTTTATCCAAGACAAAATAAGCAATCTTCCCTTCCTGCTTTGCGTTGTTTTAACTTATGTATTTGTTCACGTCGTTTGGCCATTGGGTCTTCGGCAACATCGTCATTTACATAAAGACCAGACGGCTTATGTATTCTGGCCTGTTTGAGAATGTGTTCCTTCTCTTTCCAATCATACAAACGACATACAATCGATTTAGGAGCATTTCTAGGCGATCCATCCCGTTCAGTAGAATAACCGACGCGATGCGCTCTTTGAATGCGAGGCTCAGATGCCAGCCCTAGCTTCTCTTTAAGCCTAGTTCTCATTCATCGCAAACCGTCGGCGATGGGAACTTTGCGACGTCGGCAACCGCTTGCCATTTATCAGAACACATCAAAAATTATATCGCCGATTGTCCGTAATCGTCGCCGACCATCGGCGATGACATAGCGGGAAACAAAAAAGTTTTGACTGCCACCTGCTTGAAAAATCGATGAGAAATGAGTAAAAGTTGTTTTTTCCTCAACAAGCAAGGAAATAATCAACTGAAGTTTGACAGAAATCATGAACTTTACGTTGAATGGGGCCATTTTGTGTCTTGGTGGGAAATTTCGAAACACATCGGCTGTCATCTGCAACGATCACCGATGTATGAGAACTTTCGTGCATTCGCGCTCGGCGAGTATCGGCGATAAGCGTCGCCGATCGTCGGTGACAGTTTGCAATTTAACGATTGCCTCCGAGTCATCCCGCGTTTCGCTTCGCTTCTCCGGAATGCCGGTTACTCGTATGTTGTTTCTTCTACTTCGGTTTTCTAAATCAACTGTCTTTGTAGAATACTTATCAAGGGACATCTTGATATTTGATATTTCATAGTTCATTGATTGAATCTCGGATTGATTTCTGTCAAGTTCTTTCTGTTGTGAGGCTATATCTTTCTGCGAGTATTCTAAGATGTATTTTAATTCACCTAATTCTTTTACCAACCCATCTACTCTTGATGTAGTAGATTTAATCAGAGAGTCGATCATTACTTTAAAGGCGTTTTCTTGCTGCGCCATTAATTCTTTGACAGTCGATAGGGATATATACTCGTCACCGCCATCATCGGTGGTTGTATTTTGAGATTTTGGTTTCGATTTAGGAGGAATTTTCACAATCAAATTTAATATTTTGAGGCGTTTTCACTTACAGCTATTAATCGCTGTTATCTGTCAGCTATTATCACTTACAGCTATGTGATATTCCAAATATTCAGCTATCATACATTTACCTGACTGAAAATCCCCGATCCAAGCTGGTTTAAGATTCTTTCCTATTATCGATGCATCGTATTTATTGTTAGCTATCGATTTAGACACAATATTCTGGTTACAATAGGAAGTAAAAGACAAAAAAGGTGCAACATCACCATAGCTTGAATCGCCATGACGATCCGCCATTTTGTATAGCTCATTGCTCAAATTACACTGCCAAACCCAGCAAACCGTATTTTAGATCACCTGCCATGCAGGCTAGTAAACACGCGTTAGGTGTATTCCACGCAATTGCGTGGCTCATTTTGCTCGCGCATGCTGAGACAAATTTCCCACCTGTTAGTAACGACATATTTTGGCTCGCGTAAAAGGACCCACATCATATGATGCAAGCAAAACACACAAAAGAACTAGAAAAGTGCGATAGTAATTCAGATTTATTCAGATTTATTCTTTTATCTCATACCTAGCGTATTAGCCGCTTTCCTATTAATTGTTTTTGTTTGTGGAAAAACCACGTAAATTTATTACTGCAGTAATAAATTTACGTGGTGTTTCCACAAACAAAAACAATTATATTTTATCGCCATGCAAACATTCAAAGAACTTATTCGCTTTCCTATTGTCTAGAAGGAGGTGCGTTCAATCTCGAACCCACCTGCTGACATATGTTTAGGAGGAGGGTTCGAGATCGATGTTTCGGCGGCGGCCATTATGAAGCGATATGAACAAATTTCAGACGAAGATTTAAATAAAAATAAATTAACTGTTTTTAGTTGTTTTATAATTGTTATTTTTATATTTTGTTTGATGAAAATGGAATATTCTGTATTCAAGGTGGAAGAGAAGATGCATGGCAATGGATGCAATTTGTTCGGTACGAGCAGGTTTATATAAATCTTTGGTAATGTTTTCGAAGAATGTGTGCATTTTCTCTTTTCAAGAATAAGGGAATATTGTAGAGAATTATTAGCTTCAATTTAAGCCGAAGTTTGTTTGTTTGTTTACGTAGTATGTTGGCGGCTAAAATGTACTTTCAAACCAAAACTGGTTTAAACGTAGACCTACTAAAAATAGGTACGCCAAGCGTACATGTATTTGCGCATAGTGCCACAATAAAAGGTCCGGCTTACTTAGATTGTAACAGTAATAGACAACTTTCGTTTACATAACAATTAAAAATTGACCATTTAAGGGGGGGGTGAATAGGTTTTCGGGTCGTCGGATTTCACAGAAAAAAGTGTTCGGATTTCGGATCTGGCAAATATTCCACACTGATTTGCGGATCTTATTAATACAGCGGATTGCGGATTTATCTAATATTTTCGCTCGGATTGTGGATTTAGCTTGCAATTTTGTTCGGATCCTGGATTGTGACTTTATAGTAGAGCTTTTAGCGGATTCAAATTTAGACAAGACTATTGTCGGATCGCAGATTTTGCTTCAAATTTGGGCGGATCGGCGGATTTGTATACCCCTATTCACCCCCCTCCCCCCTCATTTAAGAGCACATTTCATAACAAATTATTTGTTCGCTACTAGCTAAAGAAAAAATCCGTTAATCGCAGGTTGTCTGAATTGGCCAATTTATATATGTTTGTCATGGGGGCGAAATTTGTCTGTTTCATTGGTTATGTTCACATTTGGATATAATTTCTAAATTTGTTGACATTGGAAATAACTTTTAAATCACTGATACCCAAAAAAATGCCCCTGTTACATTGTTTTTATTTAAGTTGCAAATTTTTATATTAGGTAACACAACTATTATATCTTTGTTGCTTAATTAATTAAAACTTTCTGATCTAAACAACAAAGTCACTTAAAGTAGCTCAATACCAATTTTGCAATGTATATTTGTTCTAATATTGGTTTCTGTTTTGCCCACAAATATCTTACATGTGACATGTTAAATTAGTTTTTAACAAATGTTCATAATTTGGAAAGTGGAAATATTGGTTTTGCCAATTTAAGTAGTTCTGGAATGCAGCTGGTTAATCGTTTAGATCAGACAGTTTAAAGCAACAAAAATATATTTTTATACAATGGTCACAGAATACTATACAGAAATCCTTCTCCATTGTTTTTTGCGTAAGTGCTATTCGTCATGGTTCGTCACTTAGCGAGTACCGTAAAGAAACAGTCACCCCCTGGACGCGTGTCATTTTGAATATTTCCAAGGGGTGACTGCTTCTGTTTACGGTACTTGCTGAGTGACGAATCATGACGAATAGCGTTTACGCAAAAAACAATGGAGATGTACTTCTGTATAGTATTCAGTGCAATGGTGCTGCAATCTCGATTGTGATTGTCTAAGAACCTACAGCTAGATAATCCTCAATGTCTTATTGCCACGTACAGCATAACCTGAAGTTCAGGCCCTAATTTGAAATAGGGCCTGACACAAAACTTGTCTAGACCGTGGGACGCCCACATGTTATTTTTAGATACAGCATGCAATATGATTGAAAACTGTTGTAGATTTTGTTACACAAAAATTTATATTCTCATAAACATGTCCGCAGCTGAGTGTGTATTTCGCTTTTTTAATTAAACTTAAAAATTCAACGTACTTTTATATAATTAAGAGTCAGTTTCTTTATTTAACCGAACAGCAAACAAAGACTTAATTATTCAGTTCTGTGCACGGCTTGACTGCCAAGCTTTCTCAAGGTCTCAAGTTGCTGGACGCGCAGCCTAGTCCCAGTCGTTCTGAAGCAAGCGCGAGAAAAAGCGTGGATGTAGTACAAGACTGGGACCTAGGTGTGACGTCACCGCTAAAGGTTCTTCAGAACGCCTAGCAGATTTCATTTTTAATATGGCGAAAAATTTATATATACAAATAACCTTGTAAATACGACAATGTTCGTTGATCATGTTCGATGTCTACATAACCAAATTCAAACTGTACTAAAAATGTGCTCAATAAAAAAATTATATACAATATATAATCGTTGAAGTTATTTACATATTCGTAAGTTGTGATCAACACTAGACCATACTGGTATACACAACTACGCTTTCTACTTGACAAGTTTAAGTAGCTGTGGAGATTGGAAATATTTGCCTGACATGACTGTGCTGTCAAAACATTTTTAGTCGGAGACTCGGCATAATTTTCAAGCTTCTACATAGCATTTACTATGGCTTTATATTTTAGTAAACACGAGTCAGATTTAGTAGCCTTAGAAACGTAGCCTATTTCATTGTTCCGACAGCATTAGAGCAAAACTAATGACTTAATTATAAACGAAAAGGAAATTTCCATAACATATTCTATTTACGAATGCGGCATGCTTGGTAACCAGTTCAGGGACCACTTTTTTAAAATCAGGGACCATTTTACCTAAATCTGCTAGGCTCTCTCGCTGAAGCGTTCCGCACAGCACACCCAGGCATAAAACTTTTAAGACTTATTTAAAGGGAAATGGCAATATATTTTTTTATTTTCTCGTTTGAAAGAACATTTAAAACCATATATACATACCTTTTAACGTTCTTTTATTTTTTTCATATTTTTCATATCGAGAGAGAGAGAGAGAGAGAGATATCTTTAAATTCGGTGAACTTTTCAGTGATATCACTGATACCACAAGAGGGACGACATTATATTAAAAATAGCTATGTACAATATGAGGCATGAGATGAGATACATTTTTGGAAGATTTGTAAACTATTGCTATCCCAGAGAGACTGGGACTAGGCTGCTGGACACGGATATACTCGGGCTAACAACAGCAGCAATGAAATTCTCAATCGTACCACGAAGAGCGATGTAGCTCAGAAAACAACACCGGTAGGACCTGATATTAAAAATAAGACTTTTGCCGGCGAAGCCAGTTGGCAAACATCTTGGCTGTCAACATCAAGCTTTTGAATACATTGGCTAGTTTGGCTGTTCTTTCAGCGTCGTGTGTCCAAAATTTGTCAAAGATTTTGATAAAGCCCTTTCAAAATACTGTTTGTTTCCTTTATTTTCTGTCATAAAGCACAAAAGAAAAGAAATTCGAAGAAATCGATAATGGAATTTGTTAAATTACGTGCGTTTGATCTTTATATTAATTGTCCGGGAATTGTCTGGAAACATTTTCGACAATATTCAGTTTGTGATTGCGCAAACGATTTAGAATCTCTACAACGTTTGTATACGGTGCTTGAGAAGAATATCGATGCTTCACGGACAAATTCTGTTGACGAGCTACTGAACGGCAAAGTGAGCGCCATCAACAACACAAGGAGAAGCCTCGCCAGAAATTTTGGCGCAGAGAGCTACATTCCGAAGTATGTTCGAGATAAGAAAGACAAAGCTTGCACTGCAATAAGGTAGAGAAATTTATGGTTATATAATGATGTATCTTTAGTTTATATTAATTAAACCGAAGAACCAAAGCCGTCGGTGTTGTTAATGATTGTTTGACATATGATATTTTAATATTCGCTGTGCTGTATTAGCATAATTCTCGCGTCAAGAAGCTAAAATATGTTTTATTCAATGTCCACATTGTAAGCATTTGTTGATTCTCGTGTTTACAGTGAAGTTTTATTTAAGATTTATTTATATTTATGCATCGATTACACAACATGTCGGCTTTATAGAATACTGTTTGTCCATAGCCTATCGACACGGTGAAGACTATTTCAGATACGGTAGAGCACCTGGTCCCCAGGCCTTTACCGGCGCGGCCGCGAAATTCAATATGGCGCCAAGCTAAGGAGTGGAGTTTAAATGAAGTTTATATTCTATATTCTCTATTGTTGTTTTTTGATCTTTTTATTCTTTTTGGTTGGTAGAACTTATATTCTGA